ATAGATAGTAATCAAAATAAATTTGATAAAGACATATGACGAGCAGATGGATCAGTAACACGTGAACAAATCTTACAGAAATGGAATGATTTTAATAGAATACTTATTGAATATTTTATGAAAAATAAATTTCATCAAACAGAACTTTTAACTTATAATTCTTATTTTTATACAGAAGAAATTGGAAAATTATTAACGAATACATAATTAAGAATTCCAACTAATTTACAAGAATTACGGCTGATGATACAGGGTAAAAATCCTAGATCTGTTCTTGTGACAATGAATATTTTTAATGGGCAACCAGTTTTAGTTAAAAGTTCACAAGTATATGAAGTTCATAGTGATGGTGAATATTGGCAAGCTACGGAAAAACTTGATATTTTTTTGGACCTATTAATTGTTGATTTAAACGGTGCTTTTGATGAAACAGATCATCAAAAAATTAGCTCAGAAACATCATATTTATACGGGAGGTGGTTTATGATCATTAACTGATGTTGAAGATGTGCTCAAATCAAGTGGTCGTCGATGTGTTGTGGCTAGCGCCGATGATATACTGATTACGAAAATACCCAAAGAACGTTTAGTTGTCGAAATAAGTATTAATGAACTGACTGAAGTACTTATTCATGGTCGTCAAACAAATACTCATGTGAATATAGTTACAAAAAACAATCAACTAATTCAGACCAGTGTCAATATTATCAGATTAAAGTTCGTTCAAATAGAAGAACATTTATCAGGAATACAGCGGCAACAAATCCGAAACCTTCTTATTCAAATCCCTCAAAATATTAAGAGAATTTAAATTGCTGCTGGAATAAATACATTGGATGATTTAGAATATCTATAGTCTTTTGATTGTGTCGTTCCACAACTTGGATCTGCAGTTTGAAAAAATAAATTAACCATTAATAACAGTTGATTCAAAAAAAACATTTTGACATACAGGTAAGAATTTTTCTTATGTTGATTATAAAAGTTACTATTTTCTTTTGTTTTAGGTAATCATAGTTGTTTTTGTATACAAACAAGTATCAAGGCAAATTTAGCTGCATTGACTGAATATATTAAATCGACAATAACCGACAATAGTTATACAGGCATAATACAAAAGAAATCCACAATTAGCTCTTGCTAAAGTAATGGAGGAATTTTGGGAAGTGATAGCAAGTCATTAAGATTATCAAGTTTCTGAATGTAGTGATTTATTTGTTCATCTTGTTACGTATCTGAACGTAATTGGTGTAGCAATGGAAGATATTGTTAATGAACTGAATGTACGACGATAGGCACCTAAAACATGTAGTAAACAAAATGAAGTATACGATAAAAAAATCGAAAGAAACTATGATTGGAATAGCTACATCGAAATATACTGATAAAACAGATCAATTTGCTAAAGAACAATTGAGAATTAAAATAATTCGACAATCAGGTAGAAGTCTATGCGTTAAAGTAGAAATTATCGATCGAAATAAATTTTGTAAATATATCGATCACGATGAAAATGTTAAATTATCACTTTTTCCAAGTAAACCAAAAGATATACCATGGTTATTAACAACAAAACGCGTTACACATCTTTTTACGTTTGAAACTGTAGTTTAAAATTATCTAACAGCATACACCGTTCTTCATGAAGTTGCTGATCCAAATATTTGCCTTGCTCTATTATGTCGCAAACGTGCGTGCATAGAACCGAAAAAATCGACGCACCAAAATAAACCATTTATTGCTGCTGAACATGTTAGTCATGTGACAAGATTTTTTGCACAAATCAGTATAAATTCCTCCACATACCATTTAGATAGAGTTACTGGATCATCGAAAGGATATTTAGTGAATACAGATCTATATATACTAGCTGATGCCATTGTAGAAAGCAGAAGAACTCTTAAAGAAAATAAATTTGAAATATGGAAGGGTATTATACCAAAAGGACAAATACACACTACGCTTTATGGACGGTGTAATTAAAGGATGATGTTATGAACAGATGAACTACACAACAATGTTTATTTTTAAATCCTAACTCTAGCTTTGCAGCAATTCTCATACATGTTTTGCGGTTTCTTTTTGATCATGTCAACACTTACAGGGTTTTGTGTTTGACAAACAAGCAGGAAAACATGCAAAAAAACAGAAACAAAAGAAAAAGTCTAACGAAGATGATGAAACAAATTTGTCATAGATATCTGTCTTAATAACAGTCAAACTTTGGACTAATTTACATGTGATTAAAAAAAGGAACACATCACATGAAACCATAAACTTAATTGTAAATCAGTCTTCAATGATGCATCATCGATGAAAACTTACCATTTTAATATCTCAACATACTTTCGATAATATCGTTGCCAGCTGTTCTATTATGAAAGAACTTTTTCGAAAAACTTTCTTTCATATATTGAGTAGGATCACAATGAAACATCCAAGAGAACATCTCTTTTTAGATAAAAATTTTGAAGACCAATGCTCACATGCGATGAGAGGAAATCGACATTCATGGTTTGAAATATTCTGCTGACTGCATACATCACACGACAAGCCATCATTATTTTTGATCCTTTATCGAATTGCATGTATCGACGATTCCATTTGTTCAAAAAAACATGTGAGTGGCAAAGGACAATGTTCTACATGTATACTAGCACTTCTCATCGTTTTCTGCAGACGCAGAACGCTGACAAAGCTAGAAAACGAGTTAAATTGCTGTTTTCCCATGCGAAGATGTTTTGCATCCAAACGCATTTACAAGATGCATCTGGACGCGTTTCATAATTGACTATTCAATGAATACTTTATTTATTTTAATTGTCAATAAACTCCGTGAAAGGAAGCAAAAATCACTACTTGTATTTACACAACGTTTATAAACACATTCTCAAGTAATGGAATCATATTGTACTCAGATCACTTAACAGGTTTATTATTCCTTTTAACACGCAGGTGGATGTTGGTGTAGGTATGTGTGGGCATGGGGACGGACGCATTTCTTCTCATTACTCACAGTTACACTTGCGCATACCCAGAGCGGCAGCCATCAACACCCACAGCGACTTCCACCCACACCCACACCCTAAGGAAGTAGCTGAGTCGTTTCACGGCGTTTTCTGTGTCGTATACTGCAGCCGTATATCACCATGTACGGCACGACGATTTACAGCCGTAATGCGGTGCATAGAAAAACGGCGAAGATACGGCCGTATACGCCGTCATAAACGGCTGTATATTGTCGTTTATGGTCGTCGTAATGAGCGACCTGGTACAATCGTGTACGGTGGTATATGAGTATATCTCTGCCGTATACGTTGAGAGCTGGGTGTGGGTGGATCCAGGTGTACGTGGGTATAGATACTTACCTCATCCACATCTGCACTTTATACTTCACCCAAATTACGAAGCGTTTCGTGGGATAGTCGCACTTTGCTTACCATCGATAATTATATCCTTGAATAAAAAGTAAATGAGGATAATAATTGTTTTTCGTTGTGTATTTCTGAACTATGGTCATGATCTTACATTAAAGAGGAATGCATAAAATTGTGTCTACTCAATTCAAAATAAATTGTCTTACACAAGAACGAACTTTTGTTTGGGTTGTTTCATTCATGACATATTTTCCATCTTGAATTCTTTCCTTTTGATAAGTGTAGTCATTGCTCAAAAAGATTCGTTGGTGAAAGATATTCGAATGAAACAAAAAAGAAAAGATAAGAAAAATAAAATGTTGATATCTTCAAAAACCAACATACGAATCATTCGAAGATAAAGAGAAAGAGGTGTCACATACACAGTATAGCCTGAAATCGACAACTACTTGCCATGGAACTTTTCAGGAT